TATATATGTAATATCAAAGCAATTGGACTTGCGGTTTTCAACAAGAAGTCGAAAATATCACTTTTTACTAAAAATGACAAAAATATTCACCAAAATTAGAGAATTGAAGATATCATCATGAAATGAACAAATCTGAGAGAGGTCTACCCAAGGTACATATACACCAAGTATCAAAGCATTCAGGCTTGTAGTTTTCAAGAAGAAGTCGAAAAAGTAAAACATTGACACGGACGACGACGACGGACAATCACTCATATGATAAGCTCCGCTCGACAAAGTCGACAGCGGAGCTAAAAATATTCAGGTAAGAACACATTTTAGTTTCTACCGTACTCGACCGCGTTAGCGCACAGGGGCCTCAACTCAGAAAATTATGATTTTGTAGGGGTGGGCGCTTACCCGAGCACCCCCTTCAAGAAAGAGTGCAAATGAAAATTTTGATTCATCAAGTGACAGGTTACGTCTTTGAGGGAAAAATCAAATTACTAAATTAGTTGCGTTGTCATTGATTTTTACAATGAAGAAACAGAAATGATCACAAAAAATATGCACATTTTATTACAATATTAATTACGATACGTACCACCATAATTTACGGAATTAAAAACATTTGAGTCTGTTGGAACACAGTCAAAGTCAAAATTGTCATATTATTTCCACTGACAAAGTTGTTGGATCGTACGCTAACTCTCGATGAAAATCACTTTCCGCCATGATGCAATTGCTGATTTGACCTACACCAGCGTCCTTTGACCTAATGGGTCAAGTTGGTTATTAACTAATCAGAATGCTGTGTTGTACTGACGCAATTCTTCGGAAATTCCCTAAGACTTTCCGGTAACGCAATGCGAAAGTGAATAATCAATGTCGAAGTACGACCTGTTGGAATTGATTTCAGCGAATAAACAACATGGTTTTTCCAAAAAACTAGTAACTAGCCATTTTTGAGAGGTAAACTGAATCTGGCATGAAATATTTATCGCATTTTACTTGTATTAACAGGTCATTGTCGAAGCGTAGTTTACGCACGGTTACCGTGTTCTACGCATTCACAATATGTTCACAGCGATCGATATCCACGCTGTATCATATAAAAACGATTACCAAGATTTGTTATGCAAGACTAAGTTTTAAATTAGTTGCATTTTGAAGGGGTGGGCGCTTTGTCGAATGTGACCCCAAATATAAAAATTGCGCAAAAGTGGGGGGTGGGCGCTTGCCCGGGCATGGGCACTAATGTGGACGGGTACGGTAAATGTCAATATAGTATAGGGTTTAAAGTTTTAAAGGCGAGGGTTTAAAGTTTTAAAGGAGAGGGTTTAAAGTTTTAAAGGCGATGGATGTGGCGCAGGGCGTCTGCAAAGTTCATGTGAACAAAAAATGTTTTTACATACGTTGTGTATGTCACTATGAGTTCCATATTGAACAGAACACAAAGTGACGCGATGTCCACCACCAACCTTTAATTAATCACTGGGTGGCTGACAGTTAAATATGTTAAAATGAATATTTAAATTTAACAATGAAACGCATTTTTTTTTTAATAATACAAAGAATTTAAAACCCAGTTTAATAATTAATCTGTAGTATAAATTCCTCTAAAATTATACCAAGTGAAAATTTCTCATCGATACACCATTATTCATTCATTCATTCATTCATTCATTTTGACACCAATACTGATCATTGCCCAGCAAAATCTGAATATCTGTGAAAGTGTCTGGGGCATTTAAAAATTCACCCCATCTATTACATATAGACTTTCAAAGGACAGCAACACAGTTGAATGTAACGAATAAATGTGTTAAAGAGATTCATCGCCAATACTTACCCACGGCACAAGGTGCTTCAGTGCATATCTCGGCATCATCAGGTCTGCTATTCAGACACAGTGAATCATTTACAGCGGGTTCATTAGATTGTACATCCAGACATTCCACAGTACGTCTTCTCATACCAGTTCCACAGGTCACATCACACTGTATCAAAACATGCATTGCAGTAAAAGAAATGTATTCAACAGCATATTATGCGTGTTGTTTTATTTGCAGAATTTATATCTCTTCAATACCCAGGATCACAACATCAAATCGTCATTTTCTGTGCATAAAAGGGGCATGATAACTACTAGTTATACTTTCAGTAAACAATATTAAGTATAAAATAGATGCAATATCTGGTTCAAGTTCACAGCTATTGGAGATGTGCTCCTAACCTTTTCACACCACCAGACTTTCTTTTAAGACTTTTTTAAGCACTTTTTTATATTCCTTCAATATTTCTGGAAATGAACCCTAATTTTGGAGCCAACAGACAAAATTTAAAACAATTTTCAGGTTTTACTTTACAAATTTGGCTATTTTTGTCCCAACCTTCTCAAAGAAAGGACAGACTATAAACAGGACTATTTTGTTAATTTGTGATGAAAAGAGAGAACTAGTGGTGAAAAGGTTAATACAACAAATATGGTCTATCTGTATCTTGAATGTATACATCCTACTCGTGTCGCACATATGGTACATATTTTAGTGGCTAAAACACAATTACATTAATCAATTTATATGGATAAAATTAATAAAACCATTTCAAAACTTACATCACCCCATGCTCCTGCTACCCAATCAAATACAGGACAAGCAATAAAAGTTTCAAACACAGAGAATCCAGCGTGTTCATTATTGTTGTTACTATGGAAAGTCAGCTTAACATTACCACTAGCTGACATCCAATTGGGTGGAGTTGTATCGCCACAGTAGGTCTCCACCAGTCCAGGGTAGTCCAGATCTTCAATCTAGAGGACAACATTGTGTACAAGTATTACAGTAAAATCTGTATTAAAAGCTGAGGCTTCCATTAAAATGGTACAATGTAACAGAGGGGATGCAGCTTATATTCGAGCATCTACACATGAGAAATGATGAATTTGTGGGTCTCAATTGTTCAAAAAGAATGGGTGCGGCGTCTATTAAGGATGCGGCTTCTACGGTAATACAGATTTTACGATATTATCAAAATGCTTTCACACCCATTGTTGATTCGTCAAGCATATAATAATCGATTAAGAAACCTATGTTCGATAAATATATTTTCAAAAATCATTTCGCCTAATTTGTTTAATGTAAATCTTAGCACAAAGCCTGTGAAAATTTAAAATTATTATATTTTCAATAAAAATGTGCATATATGTTCTAAGTAGCGCTTGCAAAAATGAAATGTGTGCCTATGATCAAAACAAGGAATTTTCAATGATCTACCATGTGTAATGCAGATTCAAAACATACATTCAGTAAAACT